CTAGTCCTTTCACTTTTTTTTCCTCTCCCCCAGCGCCTCTCTCGTTTGTTTGCCCCTGTCTAAAAGGGAACACCTTCTTGTACTCTTCCACTTTTCAACCGTGGTTTCTCTTGGGGGATCCTGTTCCAAAAATGTTTCTGTCCCGAAAAATCACTTTTACGGGCGGTTTCTCCCCTTCCGTACCCCCCCATTCCTTAAAATTTACAATCCTCATCCATGTCCCTTTTCCCCCTATTTCCGTGATGAATTTCTCAAAACTCCTTTCTTTCTTCCTGCCATCTTTCAGTGTGTGTTCCTTTCCTCTCTCTCCCAAAACCCATGGATAATCACTGATTTTGCCCTTTTTCCCTTTTCCCCCTTGCCCCCCCCCTCTTTAAAATCTTTTGGGTTTCCCGTCTGTATGTGGTCATTTTTTCCCTTGATTTATCCAGTGGTCTTGGAGCATGGTTGTGCCCTTTAGCATTCGACCTATTTTCCCCGTCCATCTGCACCCATTGTCTTCCCCTTTCCCCTCCCTGGCCCTTCTTTGCAGGTTTACATTTACCTTTGGGATAATTCCTATCCCTTCCTTCCTGTTCAGCCTCCCCATCTTCGGGTTTTGGGGGGTTTTCCCCTGGTCACTAACCCCCGAAGGGCTTGTTCAGCCTTTTTTACCTCAAATTCTAGGACCTTTACCCGGCTACTTTCAGTTTTAACTTGTGCCTCCCAATTTTTTGTTTTCCTTCCCAAACCCCTTTTTCCCCTTTCACAGAGAAACTCTTTCTCCATTTTTTCAAAAAAGCTCTCCTAATTTTTTTCTCCCATTCTTGCTCTATCCTTTTCCCTGTTCCCCATCCTTCCTCCCTACCAGTACCATTTTTATCTGATCCCTGATTCCTGCGAGTCCCAACCATTTTTTTTTTTAGTGAAAGAGAGAGAGAAAGAGAAAAAGAAAAAGGGGGAGAGAGTGAGAGATAGGAAGAGAGAGAAGGGGAGCTAGAAGGAGGGGAAAAGAAGGGAAAAGGGGGGAGAAAGTGAGAGAGAGGGAAAAGGTAAGGAGAGAGGGGGGAGTGACAAGGGAAGAGAGAGAAGAGATAAAAGAGAAGAGGGAGAGAGAGAGAGTAAGAGAGGAAGAGAGAAAGGGAGAGGGAGAGAGAGAGGATGAGAGAAAGGGGGAGAGAGAAAGGGAGAGAGAGAGAGAGAGAGGAGAGAGAGGAGAGAGAGGAGAGGGAGGAGAGAGAGACAGAGACAGAGACAGAGAGAGAGGAAGAGAGAGGAGAGGAGAGGGAGAGAGATGGGGGGGAAAGGAAGGGTTATAGGGTCACTTCACAGGAAGGTGTAAAATCCTGTATATGTGTGTGTGTGTGTCTGTGTGTGTGTGTGTGTGTGTGTGTGTGTGTGTGTGTGTGTGTGTGTGTGTGTTGTGTATGTGTATGTGTGTGTATGTGTGTGTGTGTGTGTGTGTGTGTGTGTGTGGTGTGTGTGTGTGTGGTGTGTGTGTGTGTGTGTGTGTGTGTGTGTATATATATGTGTGTGTGTGTGTGTGTGGTAAAGGCCCCAAATGGTGTGTTTCCCCCGTTGGGACTTGTAGGACCGAATAAGTTCCAACAATTATCATAAGATAACATTCAGTTGCAAGATCATCATAACACAGCATTCAGTTGCAAGATCATCATAAGACAACATTCAGTTGCAAGATCATCATAACCTGAATTTCAGCACCCATATCCAACACATAACCAAAAAAGTATCCAAAACAGTTGGGATCCTCTCCAAGATACGATACTACGTGCCGCAAAATGCCCTTCTCACACTATACCACTCACTTATTTATCCATACCTCACCTATGCTATTTGTGCTTGGGGATCAACTGCAGCAACACACCTAAAGCCAATAATAACCCAACAAAAAGCTGCAGTAAGAATAATCACTAAATCCCATCCCTGGCAACACCCCCCCCACTCTTCATAGATCTAAACTTACTCCCTGTTCAGTACATCCACACTTACTACTGTGCAATCTACATCTACAGGACCTTAAACTCCAATATCAACCTTGACCTAAAACGCTTTCTTGATAGTTGTGACAGAACCCACAGGCATAACACCAGACACAAACATCTCTACGACATTCCCATGTCCGACTAAACCTTTACAAAAATTCAATGTATGTCAAAGGCCCTAAAATCTGGAACACCCTACCTGAGAACTCTAGAACTGCAGACACATTCATCACCTTCAAAACTACCATTAGAAAACATCTTATCTCCCTGTTAAACCCCATCAACTAACTACACGAATACCACCTGGTGGTTCACACTTACACTCACTCACCCATTTGACCATAAACAGAAATATTAATCTCAATCTTAAAATAATGAATCCTAACTAGTCATAAGTTGGCCTGTGATACTCCAATACTGAAACTATGTACTGTGCCAAAACAAAAGCATTCACATTGCTAAACTCACAAACTAGTATTTAGTTACTTAGCCATAATACCAACTTACCTCATAATTTGTAATATTTTAAAATAATGAACTAATTTAAGTCTGCCCGAAATGCCTAGCCATGCTAGGTGTTCTAGTGGTACACTCTGTAATCATTATTTAACTACATGTAAACCACACAACAACCAAATTCTGTAAATTCAACATTGTAATCTTTATAGAGAATAAACTTTGAATTTGAATTTGAATTTGAATTGAAGACAACATTCAGTTGCAAGATCATCATAAGACAACATTCAGTTGCAAGATCATCATAAGACAACATTCAGTTGCAAGATCATCATAAGACAACATTCAGTTACAAGATTATCATAAGACAACATTCAGTTGCAAGATCATCATAAGACAACATTCAGTTACAAGATTATCATAAGACAACATTCAGTTGCAAGATCATCATAAGACAACATTCAGTTGCAAGATCATCATCTTGCAACACCATTTGCAAGATGATGATCGAGTACTTAAAAAAGTGAACAAAATATTTAAGATGGCTGGTGTATGTAAGACACAATGGCCAACAGCAGCCACCATGGCATTAAAAACCTTGCTAAATGACTGAGCAGGGAAGACCAGACACACCAACAACACCGCTGGACACCTGTTCTTAGTCGTAAAAATAAGAGCCAGGCTTTAAACCCTGGCTCTATTTCTTAAATATTTTCTTAAATATTTCTTAAATATTTTGTTCGGTTTTTTAAGTACTCGATCATCATCTGCAACTGGTTTACCTGGAGTTTACCTGGAGAGGGTTTCGAGGGTGTTAGTGGACTGGTATGGGTCACATCCTGGGTGTTAGTGGACTGGTATGGGTCACATCCTGGGTGTTAGTGGACTGGTATGGGTCACATCCTGGGTGTTAGTGGACTGGTATAGGGTCACATCCTGGTGTTAGTGGACTGGTATGGGTCACATCCTGGGTGTTAGTGGACTGTATGGGTCACATCCTGGGTGTTAGTGGACTGGTATGGGTCACATCCTGGGTGTTAGTGGACTGGTATGGGTCACATCCTGGGTGTTAATGGACTGGTATGGGTCACATCCTGGATGTTAGTGGACTGGTGTGGGTCACATCCAGGGTGTTAGTGGACTGGTGTGGGTCACATTCTGGGTGTTAGTGGACTGGTGTGGGTCACATCCTGGGTGTTAGTGGACTGGTGTGGGTCACATCCTGGATGTTAGTGGACTGGTGTGGGTCACATCCTGGGTGTTAGTGGACTGGTGAAGGTCACATCCAGGATGTTAGTGGACTGGTGTGGGTCACATCCCCGGGGTTAGTGGACGGTTTGGGGCACATCCTGGGTGTTAGTGGACTGGTGTGGGTCACATCCTGGGTGTTAATGGGCTGGTGTGGGTCACATCCTGGGTGTTAGTGGACTGGTGTGGGTCACATCCTGGGTGTTAATGGACTGGTGTGGGTCACATCCTGGGTGTTAGTGAACTGGTGTGGGTCACATCCTGGGTGTTAGTGGACTGGTGTGGGTCACATCCTGGGTGTTAGAGGACTGGTGTGGGTCACATCCTGGGTGTTAGTGGACTGGTGTGGGTCACATCCTGGGTGTTAGTGGACTGGTGTGGGTCACATCCTGGGTGTTAGTGGACTGGTGTGGGTCACATCCTGGGTGTTAGTGGATTGGTGAGGGTCACATCCTGGGTGTTAGGTGACTGGTGTGGGTCACATCCTGGGTGTTAGTGCACTGATGAGGGTCACATCCTGGGTGTTAGTGGACTGGTGTGGGTCACATCCTGGGTGTTAGTGGACTGGTGTGGGTCACATCCTGGGTGTTAGTGGACTGGTGTGGGTCACATCCTGGGTGTTAGTGGACTGGTGAGGGTCACATCCTGGGTGTTAGTGGACTGGTGTGGGTCACATCCTGGGTGTTAGTGGACTGGTGTGGGTCACATCCTGGGTGTTAGTGGACTGGTGTGGGTCACATCCTGGGTGTTAGTGGACTGGTGTGGGTCACATCCTGGGTGTTAGTGGACTGGTGTGGGTCACATCCTGGGTGTTAGTGGACTGGTGTGGGTCACATCCTGGGTGTTAGTGGACTGGTGTGGGTCACATCCCGGGACACTGACCTAATGTGCCTGAAATGCTCAGCATAACAAAGGACTTTCTATATAGTAATATGTCACTGATATTAACTATGGTCTTGTACTAAATAAACATATTATTATTATTAGTATTATTATTATTAGATAGTTTTAATAAATATTGCCGGGGGGAGAAAATTAAATTAACAAATAATTATGAAGACGGCAGAACAGTAAGTTTATTTAGTTACAAGTACACATAAGTACAATTATATTACATGGTAATATATATGTAAATTACCTAAAATAACCCAAAAAATCAGTGACTTATTTCCAGTAAGGGCCTTGTAATATCTTATTATTTAAAGTCTAGAACTTACAAATAGTCTTACCGGTTAAAATAATATTGAGATAAATATGTAAACGTTCAGTTAATTATAGGTTTTATAATAATTATGGAGATTGTAAAAGATGTATATGAAGTGTGTTGAGGCGGGAGTAAATGTAAACAAAAGTGAGGAAAAGTGACGTATATCTGCTGCTTTAAAATTATTATATATACCTTAACCTGAGGGATATATTGTGTATATATCTTAACCTGAGTGGTATACTGTGTATGTAAGTTAACCTGTGTGGTATATTGTGTATGTAACTTAGTTGGTATATTGTCCAGGACACATACGTCAGTCTTGTTGGTATATTGTCCAGGACACTTATACGTCAGTCTTGTTGGTATATTGTCCGGGACACTTATACGTCAGTCTTGTTGGTATATTGTCCAGGACACTTATACGTCAGTCTTGTTGGTATATTGTCCAGGACACTTATACGTCAGTCTTGTTGGTATATTGTCCAGGACACTTATACGTCAGCCTCAGTGGTATATTGTCCAGGATATCTGGGTATAATGCTGTATGTTAGTCTTGTTGGTATATTGTCCAGGACACTTATACGTCAGTCTTGTTGGTATATTGTCCAGGACACTTATACGTCAGTCTTGTTGGTATATTGTCCAGGACACTTATACGTCAGTCTTGTTGGTATATTGTCCAGGACACTTATACGTCAGCCTCAGTGGTATATTGTCCAGGATATCTGGGTATAATGCTGTATGTTAGTCTTGTTGGTATATTGTCCAGGACACTTATACGTCAGTCTCAGTGGTATATTGTCCAGGATATCTGGGTATAATGCTCTATGTTAGTCTTGTTGGTATATTGTCCAGGACACTTATACGTCAGTCTCAGTGGTATATTGTCCAGGATATCTGGGTATAATGCTGTATGTTAGTCTTGTTGGTATATTGTCCAGGACACTTATACGTCAGCCTCAGTGGTATATTGTCCAGGATATCTGGGTATAATGCTGTATGTTAGTCTTGTTGGTATATTGTCCAGGACACTTATACGTCAGTCTCAGTGGTATATTGTCCAGGATATCTGGGTATAATGCTCTATGTTAGTCTTGTTGGTATATTGTCCAGGACACTTATACGTCAGCCTCAGTGGTATATTGTCTAGGATATCTGGGTATAATGCTGTATGCCAGTCTTGTTGGTATATTGTCCTGGACTCCTAGGTATAATGCTGTATATCAGTCTTGTTGGTATATTGTTCTTCTGAACTCCTGTGTACAGTTATACATCAAGCTGGACAGGCACCTAAAGTCAGTACCTGACCTACTGGGCTGTGGTTTGTACGTCAGCTTGCATGCAGCCAGCAGTAATAGCCTGGTTGATCATACCCTGATCCACCATGAGGCCTGGTCTCAGACCAAGCCGCAGGGGCATTGACTCCCAAAACCCTCTCCAGGTAAACCTAGGCGGTATATTGCCCTCCTGGACTCCTGGGTATAATGCTGTACATCCTTCTTGTTGGTATATTGTCGTCCAGAACACTTCTGGATGCAGGGTTCAGTGTGGAGTAGCTCTGGTGCACTGTAACCTCCATCTCCATCAGCTGGTAAATTCATGGAGACTCCAGTTACCTCTGAGCCGCAATTAAACTTGATAAAAGTTGTATGGAATGTATTAATGTGCTAATCAGTTCTCTTGTGTTCCTCGTAATTCTTTAACCTCTTAGAGGCCGTATATATGAAAAATCAGTTAGTTAAGATTTTGTTTGGATTTTTAACCCTGAGGGGTTAGCCACCCAGGATAACCCAAGAAAGTCAGTGCATCATCAAGGACTGTCTGTCTTATTTCCATTGTGGTCCTCAGTCTTGTCCCCCAGGATGCCACCCACACCAGTCCATTAACACCCACTAACAGGTGTAAGGAAATATGCCTGATGTTTTTACCTTTTCTGGGGATCAAACCACAGATGCTCAGTGTGTGAAGCAAGAGCGTTACCTACCAGGCCATGGGCCACCGTACCATACCACGAGCCATGGTCATGGGCCTTATTAATCTTGAGACAGGCTTAAGTTTGCCCAAAATGCTCTGTGTATTAAGGGGCTTTTTGCATGCACTCCTAAATGTCACCTATCTCTATACAAACTTTGTATAATGCTGAAATAAAGCATCTGAATTAGTATTAGTATCTTATACATCCGTCAGATCCTTCCCACCACCCTAGGAAGGTTCCTCGAAGCCGGTGAGGGGCTTCTGATCCAAGGAATTCTTCCCTTGGAATGAAGAATTTTTCCTTTCATTTCTCAAGCCTTGTATGACCCCTACATGTTTAGTGCTCCACCATGATTATTGTAATATTTGCATGAAGTGGCAAGTGATGTGAAAAGTCTCTTGTTATGGGTCCTCCCCCCTCCATTCTTATTTCTCCTCACTTATCTGCACTTTGTTGCTTACTGGTCAGCCTTGATCCTTGCATGCTACTACTCTCTCTCTCTTAATCTCCATTGTGGAACTCTGTTAAAGGATATCAGTCTGAATGATGACACACTTAATATTAATAAGACCATATGCAGTACATAATAATAATAATAATAATAATAATAATAATAATAATAATAATAATTTCATTTCAGCATTTAGTTGTGCATGCAGAAAGCCCATAGTTATGCAGAGCATTTTGAGACTAAATCTAAAAACATTCACTTGAAAATAAAGATAAATAATGTACCCATTGGAAAATAAGAATAAAGATAAATAATGCACATATTAAAAAAACATGAGGGGGAAAATTTGTAGGTATATATCTTGTCTGCAATAAAATTTATACAATACATAAAAAGTAAATGTAATTATTACACTCCATATAGATTTACAGGACTTGCATTAAATGAGTGCTTCCTTAGAATGTGATGTGAAGCAATGATGGAAGCTGAGATGTCCATCCCTTGGCCCTCCAGCATCCCACAGCTGAAGGTTGGTAACCAAAGTACTAGAGTAAACCCTCAATTTAACACATCAGACTTCCAGAATATAGGAAAAAATCCAGTGTCAGTTGATAATACAATAACAGACCAAATCTGTTGGCTGCAGAATTGCACTTCACCAGAATTGTCATTACTGATCACTGCTTCTCTCTGTTAGTCCATTAAATTGAGGTATAATACTCTGGTAGCAACAAAAGTAATATTTTTTGTTGTATGCAATATTATCTACAATCATCAGTCCTTTTGTGAAACTAGAAACTTGAACTCTTCCTTATCCATATCCAGCCAAAAACCTTATTGTGTTTTCATTCATAATTCTGTTTAATTGCTATAGTATACTTAACTTTTCTTAGAATCATGGAGTCACTAGATAACCTTGGAAATTGTTTTTTGAATCTACAGCAAATGGACGAGTTGCTGAGGTGTGGTATCTGCTACGAGTTAATGGCAACATCCATGGTGACAGCTTGCTCTCATAACTGTGAGTTTTGAATACAGTGTACACTGTAATGAACAAAAAAGGCACAATAACCTGCACATAGGAGAGAGAAGCTTATGATGACATTTTGGTCTGACTTGGACCATTTACAAGTCACATTAACTTGTAAATGGTCTAAGTCAGACCATGTGTGGGTTATGTGTAATGTACTGTAATTGAAATTGTTGAGACATGAAAGGAAAGAACGGATGGGGTTCATTGTGTCACTGTCAAGTTGTCAGTTTAAGCAACTTAGCAGTTATGAAGTACAGTATTCTTCCAATATGGCTATCTTAATCTACTCTCCTTTACTTAATATATTTTAATAGTGGCTTTATTATATTTTGTTGTAATCTTGGTATGCCTGTGTAACCCTCTAGTAGCTAGAATTTTAATAGTGGATGAATGATGTAGTAGATTAATTTTTCTAATTATGATGGTTATTTTTAAGTCTTGTGCAATAATTTTTAATGCAGTGTTTTAATTATCATTGAATTTTATATTGCAGATTGTTCACTCTGCATTCGGCAGTATTTGTCCTACAAAACACAATGCCCTGCCTGCTTTCAAGAAACCACTACTCAACATTTACGGAACAATAGACTTGTGGATGAGATTATCAGCTTGTTTTCAATGTTAAGGTAATCAAAGCTTAAAATTTACTGTCTCCTCTAATATTTTCATCTTTGTATCATTGACTTTTAGAGTTTTGTGAAAATATGTGAAATACAGGTATCATCCAACTTACGACCGAGCTTGGTTCTGACCAACTGGTCATAAGTCAAAATGGACGTAAGTCGAACCTTACTACTGAATATCAGCATCACACTTTTGTAATGATTTTATTTTATTGTTTTATTTTGGTATTTCATTTTTTACTTTACTTTGTATGCTGTTAGCACTGTATTTTATACAGTAAGGTTTAGGATAAACATTGTGTACAACACAAACAGTTGTGTATTTCTCAGAAATTTGGCATAAAATACATGGTCATAAGTCGAGTGGTCATATGTCGAGCAGGTCGTAAGTCAGATGGTAGGTGTATATAGTATACTGTGCTAAATGTTTTTTGTATATTAATCTTCATGGTACACACAGTTTGTTCTGCCCCATCTCTTAACCCTTTGACTGTCGCGGCCGTATATATACGTCTTACGAGGTACCGTGTTTGACGTATATATACTCATAAATTCTAGCGGCTTCAAATCAAGCAGGAGAAAGCTGGTAGGCCCACATGTGAGAGAATGGGTCTGTGTGGTCAGTGTGCACCATATAAAAAAAATCCTGGAGCACGCAGTGCATATGAAAATCACTCGCTACGAAAGCAAAAGACTTGGCAGACGATGCAACATTCCCCCAATGAAAAGCAGGGGTGTCACTAGCACGTTAAGAGACCATACAATAAGTGTCAGGGGCCCGAGACTGTTCGACTGCCTCCCAGCATACATAAGGGGGATTACCAACAGACCTCTGGCAGTCTTCAAGCTAGCACTGGACAAGCACCTAAAGTCGGTTCCTGACCAGCCGGGCTGTGGCTCGTACGTTGGTTTGCGTGCAGCCAGCAGTAACAGCCTGGTTGATCAGGCTCTGATCCACCAGGAGGCCTGGTCACAGACCGGGCCGCGGGGGCGTTGACCCCCGGAACTCTCTCCAGGTAAACTCCAGGTAATGAGAAAAAAAAAACTGACCGTTTTTTTTAATTAAAATGCCGACTTTGTGGTCTATTTTCGTATAGTATTTATGGTTGTATTCTCGTTTTCTTGGTCTCATTTGATAGAATGGAAAACATATTATAAAAATAGAGGTGATTTTGATTGATTTTACTATAAAAAGAACCTTGAAATGGAGCTCAAAGTAGGGGAAATGTTTGATTTTTGCCAATGTTCAAAAGTAAACAAATGATGCCATTGTCCAATAAATGTCCAACTAGCCATTCTAATATGCAGTCATGAATGGGTTGATGTTTTTTTTATACAATTATTACAGTATGCAGTAGTCTGCATAATAGTAAGTCTTCTATTTTTTGTTTGAATAAAAACTCAAAATAGAAAGCAAGAGAAAATATCAGAGGGGCCTGGAGACATGACTGAGAGCAAAGAAAATGTTATTTTAGAGCTAGGAATGTCTGCATTGTTCATTCTGGACCTTATTTTGAAATTGTATATTTTTTTAGTTTTCGTGAAATTGGCCAAATTGCAAATTTCTGACCACATTAATTAGGTAGTTGAAATCAGTAAATGGGCAGTTTCTTGTACTCAATCGATAGAAAAAAATGGAGTTCTAAAGAAATAGCTATGAGTTTGGGCGACTGGAACAATGGAATTAGCCGAAAAGGGGGCCCAAAAAGTGGCAAAAATCGCCGATTTGAAAAACAGCGCCGGGGGTCGCTAACTTTGCGAGAGCATAATTCCGTCAGTTTTCCATCAAATTTCGTTTTTTTTTTTTTGTGTCATTACAATCGGGAAAAGATTCTCTATCATTTCATAAGAAAAAATAATTTTTTTTTTTTTTTAAATTTTGCGACACCAGGAGACACCTCAGGATTGGGGGTTGCGACAGTCAAAGGGTTAACCCTTTCAGGGTCGACAGGCCCTGTCAGAGACTTGTTCTCAGGGTCGGCCAAATTTCAAAAAAAAAAAAATTATTTTTTCTTATGAAAAAATTTTTTTTTTTTTTCTAAACATTATAAGCTAAACAAAAAATTTTTACCATCAATACTTACCGAGATATGGAGGCGTGAAGTTTACAAAAAATGAGCATCATGTGGTAACATCGCCGACTGCCGTCACCCGGTATTCTTTTATTTAGTGTTTTATGTACTATTTTCTATTATTTTTTAATTTTTCTTTTTCCAAGTGACTTTTATGGCCTCTGAGACCAATATGATCAGTATTTTGTAAGTTATTTCTTTTTCAATACTACACAATAACGGCATAAACACTGTTGTCATTGTTTTGTTTACAGAAAATATTTACACAAACAAACGATTTGAAATGTTGTTTATTACTATTTTTCTATATTTTATATACACATATACAGTCACAGGGAATGTTTCTATAGGTTCTGCAGCCTGTGGAAGTCTTTGAAACATGGTGTCATGCACAGTGGTGTTTTACACTCCTCACACATAAAACGAGTATCTCTGCGTTGTTGTGGGCGCTTTTTTCTATGTGCACAGACGTAACACCTCTTCTGAGCCTTTTTCTTGAAAGCAGTAGCAGGCAGTTTTACCAGGAAGTGATCACCATGCTTCAAACGAGAAGGAAGTTGTTGAAAATTTGGTGGGTGGTCTATTGAAGGTGTTGTTCCTTGGTACTTGAATACTATTTGTCTGACAGACAAACAGAATTCGCCATACGGTGGTTTGTTTCTGGTCCTCATCTTATACATATTATAAGCATTCAGCATGGAAATGTCCAGAAGATGGAAAAAGAGTTTTATGTACCACAATCAGCAAACCCAATCTGCATGTCACATTTGTCCACAGAATGCATATTGAGGGTGTAATCAATCACAGCTGCAGGTTTTAGAATGGGTTCATTGCTTTCTCTATGCTGCCTGCCAGTGTTCTGCCATTTTCATTAGGGTGAACTGATGACCAACATTGTGACATCTCGTTTGTCATGCCACCGAAATGCCATGATGTCATTGGCAGCAAACGCCTGCACCTCACCTCTATGAGTGCCAGCGTCAAACCTGGGCATATATTTCCGATTTGCATGCACTGTGCCACACACATCTGTCATGTTCACTCGCAAAAAAATCACTGAGTGTGGGGCTTGTGTACCAGTTATCTGTATATAATATATGTCCCTTACCAAGGTACGGTTCTATCATTGTTCTAACCACATCACCAGAGATGCCCAATAACTTCCTGGTATTTTGCAATGTATAACTTCAAGTGTACACATTAATGTCCAATACCAGACCACTGTAACAATCACAAAGCACCAACAACTTTATACCAAAGCGTTTCCTCTTGCTTGGTATGTACTGCTTGAAAGAGAGTCTTCCTTTGAACAGAATCAAAGACTCGTCAATTACAAGCTTCCTGAAGGGATAAAAATACATGTTGAATTTCTCTTTCAGATACACAAACACATGCCTAATCTTATATAGCCTGTTGTTTCTGTCAGGCCTGGTTTTGTCTGAGAAGTGAAGCATACGTAACAGTAGCACAAATCGATTCACTGGCATTATGTCCCTGAAACCTGGGGTTGCAATCAGGCGGTCTGTTGACCAGTATGATTTCACACTGTGCTTATACGCATGTGGCATAAACATTATTGTGGCAAAGAAAAGGTACATCTCAGTCACAGTTGTCTCCTTCCACTGGTGTAGACGTGATTTTGGTGAAAGCATTGTGTTTGTCATGGTGTACTCGTAGTATGTGTTGCTTTCCATGACAATACTTTCCATCAGGGGTTCGTCAAAGAATAACTCGAAACATTCCAGTTCACCGGCATTGTTTCCCAGTGTATAACATGGCCGTATTCCACTTCGGCTGTCATCAAACTGGTGGGGATTTGGAACAAAATTGACAGCTTCCTGCCAATCCCAGGTGCGGTCTGCTGGTGGGTACTGGACAATGACAGGTGGTTGTGGTTGTGGAGGTTGTGGTTGTGGAGGCTGATGTGGTGGCCTTTGTTATAGATCACCTGAGGCAGTGGCGTGGGTGGCAGTGGCGTGGGTGGCAGCGGCGTGGGTGGCAGCGGCGTGGGTGGCAGCATGGCCCACTGCTGGTGCCTCACGGCCGGCACCACCATTACCACCACCATGCACATTTTCCATTCCAATTGCAACAGTATCATTGTCATTTTCACTGTCAGTTCCTGTTGTACAGCCATGGGATGTACTCCGAGATGTACTCCTTCCCCTTGGAATAGCATATGGCACACTACCAGAGCGCATATATCGTCGTATATACTGACGCTTCACTGGGGAATATTGCACTTCACTATCACTACTGGAACTAGTTTGAAGAGCTTGTAGTTCATAATCACTCTCACTATCATCACAAATGCTCACATCTGAGTCTGGGATTTGGGAAAATAGGAGTTTCCTCTTTGATTCTGGTACAATTAAGTGTGAACAAGACGGCCCAGCACCAGAGGTGGAAGGCTGAGGGTCGTCTGGGTTTTCCTCACTATTACCGATGTTATGGTCATTAGTTTCGGTCAAAACCTCACCAAAACCTTGAAACTCATCTTCACTGGCACTTCCATCTGTATTAGAGCTATCACTGGGGAACAAAAGTGTCCCAGTTCGCCGAGGAGTGAGGAGCTTCTTACCGCGAGGCATGGTGGACAAAGTGAACTAAAATGGCGTTCCCACAATGCGCCACTGGGTCCCAGATTTTTTTTCTACTGCGCACACCCACCACACAGACCCATTCTCTCACATCTAGTCCTACCAGCCTTTTCCCATGAGATTTGAAGACACTAGAATTTATGCGCACTAGTACGTCAAAAACCCCTGCGCGTAACCCGTACTAGTATGGCCGAAACCCTGAAAGGGTTAAGACTGGTAAATTTTATCTTTTCGGAGACAGTAGTAATAAGATTTTTTTCAAATTTTTGCATTTTCAGCGCATAACGTGAGCTCTGTATTTACATGAGTTATTTGACATACAGTAAACTTT